AGAGAGAGAGAGAGAGAGAGAGAGAGAGAGAGAGCGAGAGAAAGAGAGAAAGATAGAGAGAGAGAAATGAATTAGTGCCGCTCGAGAGGAGCCCCTAGAAAGAGAAGTAGTAGTGCACAGAGATGGGGGTGCAACATGCGCAGCAAAAGCAAGCAGACTGCGCTCACATCGAGGCCCGCACGATGTTTTCATAACGATAAGGTTTGGAAAACTTGCCGTGTGCAAAGTGGCATCGCGTGGTAATGATTTGCCGAACACCTTATGTATGGTGGATCGAAGCGCGCCCATACTGCAAACAATACAATGCCATGCTTTTCACCTTCTCGGACTGTACTGATTTTTTGTCAGTTCAATCACCTTCTCGGACTGTACTGAATTTTTGTCAGTTCAAACGTATAATTCTCCACAGCATGAGTTACTAATCAATTTGTTAATTACTACTTGTAGTTTCGTTCAATATATATACTAGTAAAAAACAAATTGTCAGTAATGTAAAAAGGAACTAATCCGCATTACTGATAGAACACTTTAGTCAGTATTCCTGCTGCATTAAAACCTAACATGAGCACTGACAAGGACGTGTACGAATGTCAATCACCTGCAGTAGCGGTGCTAAGTCAAGTTAGCCCCTTGCTCCGCTTCACAGCAGAATTCACACGCTTGCGACAAAATATTCACACACCTGCAGGTGTGCGACAAGACATTCACACACTTGCAGGCAGGTGAGCAAATAAAAATTGATACGCTTGAAAACGTATCATGGCACCTATAATTTTAAAAAATAAAGGAAGCGGGGAAAAAGGTCTGCCTCAGCCGTATCTATGACGGGCCCCGGGTAGAAATGTAAGGTCAGGTCCAGGGTAAAAATGTCAAGAAGTGTGCAGGTCATTTGAGCGTTTGAACCTCGGTGTGAACAACGACAATTTACCTTCACAGCTTACATTTCTACCCGGGACGGTGGCAGTTGCGCCACACGTCCGGGTGCAGGGCCAGTGCGACACTTTCCCCAATAGCGCCAACCTGAATGAGCATTAAATGCCCATTAAATTGAAGGCAATACAGTTTACAATCAAAATTTATTATCCACATTATGCGCAGGAAATGCGCCTTAAATACATAACCTTCAATGCGCGTTTTTAATGGGCATTGGCACTTCTAGGGTTGGGTCCCGGCACCGGCTGGCCTCTCACCAAATAAACCTCCAAAAAGTTATCGCCACCTTTTGATATTATTGATCTCCACACTTCAAAACGCACAAATTAGTACCCTTTTGTGATTTGGGCAATCAAAAAATTTCCCATAACACACTTTGACTTTTTTTGCCATCAGCGACTGGGTAGAATGGTTCGTTCCCTGGAGCGACAGCCCGCGTATCTCGCCTCTCTGGCTCAGTCGGTAGAGCGCCCGCCCAGAGCGTCGGGGGTCGACGGTTCGACTCCAGGCTCGGCAACATTTTTCGCGCTCCGTTTGGCGCTGGTGTAAGGCCTCAGGGCCGACCTGAAGTTCAAGTAGAATCGGAACACCGCTCACCTCCGTTGGCTGGGTAGCTCTGGTGGCAGGGTCACTGTAACTGTCGAATTGACTCGGCGCTCGGGGTTGTGGGTTCGAATCCCGCGTACCCCTGATGGTAAGGCCTCTGAATCTGGGTTTCAGTCTTGCTCACCTTGCGACACCCGTAAGTCCGACAACCCAAGTCCTCTTCAATCCGTTTAAGTAGCTTTCATTAGCTGCGCGGGGCCCGTCACAGATACGGGTGAGGCACTCTTTTATTCTTCTTCCCCGCTTGCTTCATTTTTAAAATTGATCTGATAGGCCAAAAGATGGGGTGAGGTGGGGTGGGGTGAAACGGGGCGGTGCATCTCAGCATTCGGGGGAAAATGAAATGGCTATTGAGGAGAAGCTGTGGGTCTGGTCGGACGGGTCGGACACGCGTGCGCGGCGGGGTAGGGCGGGACGGGGCAGGGTGCACAAAACAAGAACAAAAGCAACGCCAGCAACGCCAGCCAGCCTCCCAGTCCGGCCACGCAGCACCGCTCGCCCCTGCTGCAGCACAAGTCTGAAATTACTTCAGAAATGGTATAAATCTGGCGCCGTTTAATCTACAACATAAATCCAGCATCTGGTCGTGAGCAGACGTGCGGGTTGGAGGAAGGGGTGTGGGGTGGTAGGGGGGTGCTTGTACGGGGGCGCCGGACAGCGTGGAGCCAGGCGAGCAGCGGATACGCGGAGAGGCAGAGAGGGGGAGACTGTAGGACGAAAGAATAGTAGTTCGCCGCAGATACCGTTGGCTCGACGGGCGGGCATCCTCGGCTATGCCATGTTGGCGCTCGCCTCCTTCTCGTGTTATTATGCGGGGTGGCGAAGAACACTGTTTGAAATAAATCCTCTGTCGCCTCCACTCCACACGTCGTTTTGCAGCTAAACTCTGAATGCAGAATACGCACCTAAAACGAATACAAACATGCGCTGAGTGGCTTCGCATCTCTGCGAGAGGATCATCCCGCATTGCGCTTTCTTATGCCGTTCTTGTGTTGCACACACAAATAAAATCACATTTTCCCTTTGAAGTATTGCTTTTGTAAATTTTTTGTCTTTTTTTTTGCAATGTTTTTTCAGGTCTGCGGTGGTATTTCGGCTGCCTGCCCCAGAGGCGAGGTTCGCTGACGCTTTCCGATAACACTTGTTGACGTTGCTTCCCTTGTTGGCTTCTCTCCGCGGTTGTGCAGCCCTCCCACGCTGCCCCGCGCCACTATCTTCTTCTCCGCCCCCCCCCCCCTTTCTCTCTCTCTCTCTCTCTCTCTTTCTCTCTCGTCGTATGGACCTCAACAAAGACCTTAACAAGCCTAGCAATCGGGTCCCATTACGTTCGTTACACGAGTCAGCAACGCACTCGGCAGCGCCTGCGTTCGGCACGACGACTGGTTTCCTAGAGGTATATATCGGCAATTCGAGAGGGAAGGCAGCCGAACGAGCGCCTAAAGAGCGCCAAAGTAATGGCATCGGCAGAACTTGTGAAAACGTCATCGCAATGAGCGCCATACACGGGGGGTACACCGCTCCGATCTCAAGCGTGGCCGCGGGTAGAGTTCGCAATCGGTCGGGCAAGGCCAGGCGAGCTTACCCGATTTTCTTCTGTCCTCTCTCACTCCCATCTGACGTGACATTAGAGGGAGAGAGACAGTAGACAGTCGGGTAAGCTCGTCTGGCCGTGGCTGACCGACTGCAAACTCTAGCCGCTGGTGTTTCGTTGCCCGAAGATAAAAGCGTGCGGTGAACTTCCCGGAACTTCCCCGTAAAGTTGCTTAGCGGTAAACACTGTAAGGTCAATTTCGTTGATTGAACTTTTTTTTTTTCAAGGAAATTATCTTGTTTTAAGGAAACGATTTTCTAAGCGTAATATACTGCTCGAGTGGAAATTTCCACGTTGTGTCGTCCGCAAATCGTGAGTACTGTAGCACCGTGTACGTACACTAGGGTCGGAAGCCCCGGGAAATTTCCGAAAAAAAAACACAGAAAATTTCTGGAGAAAACGGAAAAATTACGAGACTTTGGAAGTTTGTCGTTATTTTCCGAAAATTTCCGAGAATTTTGAAAATATTTAACCCTGGTCCATGTCCCTGTCGGCCCTCAAGGTACTCTCCAAACTGATTCGCGACGCTCTGCTGCCCGCAGCCTATGGAGGCCCTGTCCACCGCGCTCACCGTCCTGTCCTTCAACAACTCGAGCGCGTCGGCGGCCAACCGGACGCCGTGGGCCGAGCCGGTGTTCGAGCGCGACCACCTGGCGCTCATCCTGCCGCTGAGCGTGCTCTACGTCGTCATCTTCGTGTTCGGCGTCCTGGGGAACATCAGCACCTGCATCGTCATCGGCCGCAACCGGCAGATGCGCACGGCCACCAACTTCTACCTGTTCAGCCTGGCCTGCTCCGACCTCCTGCTGCTCATCTCGGGCCTGCCGCTCGAGCTGCACAAGATCTGGTTCCCCTACCCGTACCCCTTCAACGAGCCCGTGTGCGTCATCCAGGGGTAAGTTTTCATGTTTTGTCTGTTAAATAAAATAGGTTTTATTTGGTTTTTAGTATTATTTGCTTTTGTTATTGAGTTTTGTCATTGTTTTTGTTATTTTTTTATGTGGCTTTGTTTGCTATTGTTTTTGTTGTTATTGTTTTTGTGTCTTTTCACTGGAAAAACTAATGTTACCGAGGTTACGTTTCTTTGACGCAACCAAACCAGGTAACGTTTGGTGATGCAACCAGTTTGTGATGGCCCTATCCTTGCATGGGGTAGGTTGCATCAGAAAACGTTACCGGGCTTGGTCACATGATGAAACGTTACCTCGGTAACATTAGTTACTCCAGTGTTTGAAATTGTGTTTTGTAATTGTTACTGTTATTCTTATTGGTTTTTTTTGTTCTTTTCTTCGTGATGGCAGGCTGGCCGCGGAGACGTCGGCCAACGCCACGGTGCTCACCATCCTGCTGTTCACGTGCGAGCGCTACATCGCCATCGTGCACCCGCTGGCCAAGCACCAGGCGCGGCGCAGAGGGGGCCGACTGCT